GTGGGAGGATGGGTTAGCCTGGTGATGGGTATTAAAGAGGGCACGTTCTGCATGGAGCACTGGGTGTTATGCAGAAACAATGAATCATGGAACACTACATCAAAAACTAATGATGTAATGTATGGTGATTAATATAACAATAAAAAAAGATTATCTTTGCTATTCTTGAGCCCTTGCTTTTTCATATGATTTATGATCATGTCAATTTTAACCCATAAATATATGCTGGAGATTTTACTGAAATTGCCTTGAATATAAGATCAATATGGGGAAAATTGGCATCTTTCCGTAATATTGCATCTTCCAATCCACAATCATGGTATATCTCTCCATACATTTATGTTTTTTAAAATTTTTTCCAAATGTGTTGTAGTTTTCTGGGTAGAGACATTGAAAATAAGGTGTTAGGTTTTCCTGTAGGTATACACTGTTTTTATGCTATTATAAACATATCATATATAATTATATATAATGTATAATATATATGTGTATATACACACACACATACACACACACACACACACACACACATATATATATATATATATATATATGTATGATCTTCTATTGGTTCAGAGAATTTTTATCTAGGCTAACTCTGAATCTAGAGAAATTAAAATGTATTTTAGGGGCACCTGGGTGACTCAGTTGGTTAAGTGTCCAACTCTTGATTTTGGTTCAGGTCATGATCTCAGGGTCATGAGATCAAGCCCTATGTTGGGCTCTGCACTGGGAGTGGAGCTTGCTTTAAGATTCTCTATCCCTCTCCTTCTGCCCCTCCCTCCTCTACCCCACCTCCTGTTCCCATGCTCTCTCTCTCTCTAAAAAAAAAAAAAAAAGTGTTTTAAATTATCAATTAACACAGGTTCAAAAATAAAAACCAATGGAACAAAATAAAGTATCTAGAAGTAGATCCACACAGATATGTTCAATTGATTTATGACAAAGACTCATAGCAAGTCAGTGTGAAAAGACTTGTCCTTCACTGGTGTTGGGTCAACTGAATATGCAAATGGAAAAACATACCTAAACCTTGGTTTTATTCAAGATAGATTATAGACTTAAATGTGAAAGCTAAAGAAAAAAAACCGTGGTGCAATTTCTTCACAGTCTTGGGTTAGACACAGACTTCCTACACAAGCCACAAAAATCACTATTCACTTTATGTAATTAATGATAATATTTGGGTTTATATATACCATTTCAGTATCTGTTCTATTAGTCTCAGCTGTAAGTAGGATCCTTTTTCTCTCTTTCCTGCCTTTTTTTGTATTAATGAGGCACATTTAAAATTATTCCAGTTCCCTGCCAATAGCTTGATAGTTAAATATTCTCTATTCTTTTTGCTGTTTCTCTAGATATTAAAGCACATATTCTGGGCATGCTGGTACTTCTATCTTTTCACAGACATTTCATGGAACTTAAAACACTTTTACTCCATTTAATACATACTGAATTATTGTTGTCATGTATTTTAATTCTATATGTATTTAAACCCACAGTGGATTATCATTATTGGTCTGCAAAGTTATTATTAATTTCAATTTACCCACATATATGCCCTCTTTCTTGCTCTTCATTCTTTCCACTATTGTGCTTTCATCTGGGTTCATTCTCTTTATGCCTGAAGAGTTACCTTTAGTGTTTCTTTTTATAGAAATCATCTTATATGACTCATCTTGGTTTCTGTTTGAAAAATGTCTCTATTTTACCTCTACATTTGTGTTTTTCCCCAGCACTTCAAAGATGTCATTCCAGTTTCTTATGCACTGCTTTTAAATTTTTCTTTTTGTTTTTTGATTTCAATAGTTTGAATATGATACCTAAGTACATATTTTTCCTTGTATATGTCCTGCTTGGGGTTTGTGGATTCTTTCCAATCAACATTGATACACTGATACCTCCTGTCAGTTTGGGAAAATTCTTAGACATTATCCCTTCAAAATGGATTCTGTCTCCTTATCTTCCTTCTCCCCTCTAAGCCTCCAATTACATATGTTGGCCCTTTCCCTGTTTTCCACGTATCTCTTCTTACTCTTTTCTCTACTATCCTTTCTCTCTTATGTTTCAAATGTTATACTTCCAACTGTCCTTTCTTCCAGTTAACTGATTCTCTATCCATCTGGGTTCAGTTGGCTGTCAACCCACCTAACTTCTTCATACCAGTTATTTGAAAAAAGATTTATTTTTTATTTGAGAGAGATGGGAGGGGAGGGGCAGAGGGAGAGAGAATCCTCAAGCAGACTCCCTGCTGAGTGTGGAGCTGACTTGGGGCTCCATCCCACCACCCAGGAGATCATGACCTGAGCCAAAACCAAGACTCCAAGGCTCAACTGACAGAACCATTCAGGTGCCCCTTAATATCAGTTATTATATCTTTAATTTCTACAACTTCCATTTGTTACTGCCTCCTACTGATGACTGATGGAGGGTTGCATTTTCCATCTTGACCTATATTCATGAACATATTAATCATATCTCAGACAACTGTTCTTTTTTCTGATGCTTTCTTCCTCCTCCTGGTCCTGTTTCTTGATATATATGTAATATTTTAAATTAAAAACCCAATATTTTATATGAAAAAAATATAGGTAAGGCTTCTGATTTATGTTATTTTCCTCTAAAGAGGATTCATTTTAGCTTCTGGCAGATTTAGAATGGGGGAAAATCACTCTAACCCCTTCAGAGACTGAAATAATTCCAGATTGGGTTTCAGCATTTAGAGAACCTGATCTAGTTCTGGGGTGTCCTCACTCCTAGGATGGAGCTTTCTAAGAGTCTCAAGAATCTAGTGTTGTATTATTCACCAGGGCTCTCCTTCATAATAGTCCCTGAGCTCTAATTTTTATTTCCTCAAAATGTAATACTTTCTAAAAACTATACCTGACTTTTGCTTGTATCACCTAAGATATCGCCACACAGCTCAGAGAGAAAAAATGCACAGCATACGGTGCTACTTCTCTATGCTTCCTTTTTCTCTGGGATCTGACCTGAAGTCAATTTTTACCTTCGCAGCCTTGTGAGCCTACTGCCAGTTGTTTAGCGAAGACTTTCTGTCTGGCCTTCTAACTGGGAATCTGAAACCTGACCTCTTCTACAGTGTGATGTATGAATTGGCAAAGTCCCTGAGGGCAAATACAGCATGAATTGTTGGACTGCTACAATGAATTTCCCGTCTCTGAGGAAAAGGGTTCTGTTTGCCCAAATCTTCATGACAATGCTCTCATGCTCTTCTTCCTCCTTATGTCTCTCTTTGTCTCTCTCAGAATCTCACTCCTGCTCTAAATATATACATATATATTTGATTTTCCGCGAGCTAATATGTCATAGCCTCAGGCAGAAGCCTAAAGATTTTATTTCTGTGAAATGTGAGCAACTCCAATTGGCCTAAATTGGTCTGTATCTTTCTACTTCCAGCTGAAGAATTTCGGGGAACCTTGTATTTAGGAGACTGGGTATGGCTGAAAGGCACTTATTAAGGAGATAACAGAAAGGAGTATTAGGTTAGAGGGATGGTTCTCTAAGCGGTCCTTGAGGCATCAGCATCATCTGAGCCAGAATTTCAAACTCATTATTTCACAGTTGTCTTTCCTACAGGGATTAAAATACCAATAATGCTGATCAATCCTGACAAAGTAATCCTAAATGCTTCATCTTTTCCCTTTCAAGTCACACTCAGAGCCTCTAAAGGCTACTCTATTCCCCTTGACTTTGCTCTTGTTTTGTTCTGTTTATTCTTCGAGCACAATGCATAACCTATAGTCTTATTATAAATGCATATTCGTGGGCCCCCCCAACCTACTGAATCAGAATCTTTGGAGATGGGGCCTGGAAAACTGTTTTAACATGTGCACCAGCTAATTTTTATTCATGTTAAAGACTGAAAACCACTGAGCTATCAGAAGAAGCTGGAAGTCGGGCGCCTGGGTGGCTCAGTTGGTTAAGCGACTGCCTTCGGCTCAGGTCATGATCCTGGAATCCCGGGATCGAGTCCCGCATTGGGCTCCCTGCTCGGCGGGGAGCCTGCTTCTCCCTCTGACCCTCCTCCCTCTCATGCTCTCTGTCTCTCATTCTCTCTCTCGCAAATAAATAAAATCTCAAAAAAAAAAAAAAAAGAAGAAGCTGGAAGTCAATGATGGAGGTCTTAATCCTGGTATCATTATTAACTTTTTAAATCCTTTTGTGCTCTCAAGGCCTAGCACGGTGCTGCCCATATTTTAATACTCAGAAGACCTGGCCGAAGGCAGGACTGTCTGGCTTGATAATTGAGATCATTTAATGAAATTGTTTATCCTTCAGAGAACATCTTCATTTATAAGATGATAAAAATGCTTGTGCATATTTAAAAATACATGGTATAAATTATCTTATCCACTATCTAAATATTCAGAAATCTCAGATAACCATAATTTGTCAGTCACTGATGCTCATAATGATATCACTGAGATGCTACAAAATTAAAAACGTTCAATCACCAAAGAAAGTATACTCAATTATATTTAGATTAGCCTTAGTGTTTTAGGTATGACCAGCATGCTGCCTTTGGAAAAGAAAAGCCAAGACGTCAGGTTGAAAGAGGAAGACAGCATCAGTATCTGTTAGGCTGAACATGTGTGGGCGCTAAATTATTTTTGGAATACCATTAATGTATTCTGAGAAAGCTTTGGGCTGGAAATGCCAATGAGGCACAGTTAAATCCAAAAAGAACTTCCAAGAAATGATATATTAAGCAAGAGTAAAGAACAGCTTGCAGTGAAATGGGAATAGTTGAGGAAGGGGAAATAAGAGCAACAACAACAAACCAAGGAGCCAAAAGTAGAAAAAAATTAAAAATGTCAACAACATTTAACCAACTGAGCCACCCAGGCGCCCAAATGTCAACAACATTTAAAATGAAAAAAAAAAAAAAAATTAAAACAAAAACACACGTACACCAAATCTGATTTCCTAGGAAAAATCACTGACCCCAGAAGATAAAGTGGCTGGGGATCTGGTCCTACCTCTTCCAGCTGCACCATGAGGGTAACATTGTGCCCTTGCTCTGCTGTCAACTTTCCATCTGCAGTGACGATGCGCAGCCCTCGGGGGGCCTTCCCGGGACACTTCTGCGGTTTGGCGGTGTACTGTTCTCTCACTCCGTCCGTGCAGTTATTGGAAACGACTTTCCTATACCTACATGGAGAAAAGCTCAAGTGGTAATCCAGCTCATTACAATTCGGATCACTCCCCATTTTTTAAGCTGGACCTATCACCGTGTAGCCCAGAGGGCTATGAAGAACTACACTTCACAGCACTATGAGGACTAGAGCTAATTCATACAAAGCACCCAACGGAAAGACAAATCATCATAGTAACATACTGTACCTACTGTTAGCACTTTAAGGGAATTCTTTTATTCAGTCACTCAATGAATCATTTCACTTCAGAGCTGTGGGAAATGCACAGCAGTAGAAGGCATGGTCCTGGCCCTCACCATGTTTATAATCTTGAAGTGATATATGTGGATAATCCAGGAGACACTTTAAAGACTAGATAACTGAGGGTTAGAATGAGTACTATAGATTGCAAGGGAATTTGTGATTCAGACAAAGATTGTTATGGATTATGTAATTTAACATTAGCCACACAGAGGACGCTATGGTAAGAGTTTTATACAGAATGTTGGCTAAATTTAATAGTTTTTATTCACTATTTTATGAGGGACTATATTGGCTAACTATTGAAAACTCCTATTAAGGAGACCAGTCTGCATATTGAGTAAATCTTCCCTCCTCTTTTGCTTATTTCTTCTTATTTTAGCTTTAATAGGAAAAAAAAAAAAAGATCATTCTACAAATTTGTCCTATGCAATTTATCAGATTCATAATAAATTAGAATCTGTGGTTTTAGGACAACTCATCTTTAAGACTTTAAGCTTCAATGTTATCTGTTCATCATCCTTTTGAGTGGGGTCCACAGTAACCACTCTGAATACTCATATATCAGACTCCCCAAGCCTGCTTACCTAGAGTGGTAAAGCTCAAAGTGGAAGCAAAGTCTAAGATCTTTCCACTCTTCTAGACCAGAAGTTGAGAAACTTTTAATATAAAGGGCTAGATAGGAAATGGTCTAGCTTTGCCAGCTATACCGTCTTTGTCACTACTCAATTCTTTGTAGCATAGAAGTAGACATAGATAATGCACAAAAGAATGGAGACAGCTGGGTTTCAGTAAAACTTTATTTACAGATATTGGCAGCGTGCCACATATGACCTGCAAACTATACTTTTCCAACCCCTTCAAATCTGGCCAATATCCTTTCCTCTGTCCCTGAGTCTTGGGCTCAACCACCTAAGAGCATGGTTGAGAAAGTCAAATTAAATACTGTCTGGGAAAGTACTCTGAATGCTATGGATCACTACAAGGTCAATTGTTAATATTTAATTCACCTCATAGGGTAATTGTATAAATTAAATGGATTAATGTACACAGAGTATTTAAAACAACCCTGACGATTAGCAAGTGCTTATGAAGTGTTGCCAGTTATTTTTGTTTAATATTATTTCTCCTACCTGTTCATAACCTTCACGGCCTCCAAATGTCCTTAGGATAAGTCATAAATCCCATAACCTTGTCCATGAAGCCCTCCACAAGCTAACTGCACTACATCTCTGAATTCTTTCTCACCAGAAAGCTCATCTGCCCTAGTCAAACCTCTCTTTCAAGCCTCTTGAAAGTACTTATTTTCTTTTGCTCTTCCTGCTTCTGTATCTCCCTACATGCTCTATCAGCTGCCTAAAACTTCCACTTTGAGTTAGAGCTTCTCTCTTCTGTCTCTTCCTGTGATAGTAAAATAGTAATTGAAATAGTAAGAAGTTCATATGTAGAGAGTACTTCCTACATTTGCCATTGTGCTAAGTTCTTAACATGACTTTTGTCATTTATCTTCAAAATATCCCAAACAGTTCTGCTTAAGGAAGGTATTATTATTATTCTCAACATACAGATGAAGAAATTAAGATTCAGAGAAGTTAACCAGTTTTCTCAAGATCACCCAGTCAGGACCCCAGACAATTTGTCTCTAGAATATCCTCTTTACCACCACTCTACTGCCTCTTTAAATGGAATGAGATTGTCTCTCCTCTAAACTCTTAAAGGATCCTTAGGATTTATTGATAGGAACCCATTTCTGCCTCGTATGATTGTCTTCCTGCGTGTGACTATGAACTTTAAGTTCCTTGAGGGCATCCTTGTCCCTGCGGACATGCAAAGCTGATAATCAGGGGGTCCACAGTGGGATGACTGTGCCATTTTAAGTGTTCAAATATCTGCACAGCAGGTGGTTATTACTACTGCCCCCAAACCTTTCAAGCACCTCCCCCATGAACCAGCTGTGACTAATCCTTATGTTTGGAGTCCCTGCTTCTCTTCACAATCCAGCAACTAAGGAGTTAGCACCCAGCCCTTCAGGCAGTCTGGAACTCTCTGCTCTTGCACTAGGATCCCTACTCATTCCGCTGGTCATTATCAAGCCTGAGCATGTTTAACATCATTCCATCTACTATTTAAGTAAATCCATTGGAGGTGCTTATGAGTGCATGCTGATTAACAGAGAAAATAATGGCAGGTGGGAGAGAGAAGGAAAAAAAAAAAAAAAAGGTGCCAGCACTGGAGAATGCTGACATTCTGGTACTAGCGATGGTAGCAAGAAAATGACCAGCAATGTCACATAGTAATTACGGCACCCCAGCGAGTTTGGGCATCAGAAACTCCCTGTGTGTTTCAGGGGCAAGGCGCCATGCAAACTAAAGGTAGCTTATGATTTTTAATCACTCAGCATCCAAGCCCACCTGTGACTCTGTCTTGGCGAGCGGCTCTGGAGGCATGGGCTCACCATCACCACCAGCATCATCAGCTAGAGAACATTCCTTTTGTCTGTCGCTCTTCTGACCAATCATTGCCTCGGGCTTTCCTGAATCCTGCAGCAACAGTTCTGCTTAAATCCTAAGCACGAATCCATCCCCCCCCGGGATTCTGCCACAGAGAAGACTGTTGGTAATTTTTTTAAAATACTCATTAAAAAGCATTCTGAAACCATTTTATTTCCTGGATGAAAATGGCATCACATTAGCCCTGCCAGACCTGTCCCTGAAATTTAGAAGAAAATTGTGTGCAGAAATACAGAGTTCATTTACTCAAGTAAGCACACACCTGCTTTTTCCATTACAGAATGGTTCTATTTTCATCCCAGCAGCTGTCCCTGGGTCTGAGTTACATAAATGAATAATGCATTTAATATGTTATTAAATGGGGCTGCTACCTCCATAATAACAAGGCAACTTATGATTATGTTGGACATAAGCTCTGAATATTACTGGGATGCATTTAGTTGGTAAAGCATTCTTCAGTTCACCAAGAAGAAAAGTGCTTTGTAATGGCAAGGGAGTCTTTGTACAATTACTGAAAAGGAAACATTCTGCAAATGTGCCTTTGATATTAGCGACCGCTCATCAGTAGATAGTGTCTTATTACTTCAACAGCCCCAACTTCAACCATTCTCTTCCTTCCCATCCGGAAACCCCTTTGTCACCTTTTCCTTTTTACCCCCACCTTGTTTGATTTTTCTTCTGCGCTTCCTGCCAGATCTTAACACAGATCAAGGCCATAGTTTTTCTTTGTGAGTGTAAAACTGGAAAAAAGCCATGAAGGACTTCATAGTCTGTGATTTTGTTATTTAATAGTTTTTTTGGTTTCTCTTGTGATTTGGGGGTGGTGGTGGAATATGGATGTTTATGACTATCCACTGTATGTTAAGGTGACAGTATAGTCTAGCTCAGTAGATCGCAACCCTGTCTGTCCTTTAGATTCACTTGCCAGAACTTTTAAAACAAATGGATGTCAAGATCCTGCTCCCAGGGGTCTTGATTTAATTGAGAATTAATTATGTTATGATTTTATTGAGTGTGTTTTTGTTTTTGTTCTAAGTTCCCGTGGTGATTCTTGTGTGCATCCAGAATTAAAGACCACTGCCCTGGTGGTTAAAACTAGCGTTGTAGAACCAAACTGCCTGAGTTTAAATTCAGGTACTTACTGTTTGAATCTGGGCAGTTACCAAACCTTTCTCTAATGCTTGGGTTCTCTGCCTATCAAATAGGGACAGTTATAGAATCCTTTCAACAACATTCTTGGGAGGATTAAATGAGATACTGCATTGAAAAGGGCTTAGCCTGAAATCTGGCACATTGTTAGAAACTTAATAAATACTAAAATATCAGTAATTAGTTAAAAAGTTAGTATTTAAAGCATTAAACATCAACTTGCCATTATACAGCAAGTTCCCAGAAAATAGAAGTGGCACTCTTATTGCCAAGATAATCTTAAGATCAAATCGGACCATGTCAATTCTTTCTTAGATGCATTCACAACTTCCCATGGGATTATTCAAAGAGCATCAGGTTGAAGTTTTAAATACAGTCCGCAACCTCTCCTCAGTGCATTTCTCCAGTTTCAGCTCTTTCCCAACATGCTTCCTGAGCCCAGGCCATACTCAAACCTGCATGCCTTCTTTTTTCCTGTGCTGTTCATTCTTTCTGGGATGTTCTTTCCTCCTGTCAAGCTTTTATTCATTCTTTAAAAATCAGATTAGAATACATGTTTCTCTGTGAAGTTGTCTCTTGCCGTTTTAGAGTAGTTATCACACGTCATGTCCAAGCTAGAGCTGGAACTGTAGGTCTTCTTGAAGCAAAGCAGGTCTTACTGTCACTGAGCTATGGTGTCCTTCGTTTGTGCTCACAATGTGAAGAATTTAAATGTTTTATTTTCTTGGATCGTACAACGTGCCTTTGCTTTCAAGGGAAAAGTGCTGTGTTACAACCCTCAACAAAACAAATAATGGAGCAAGGCTTAGGGATAGAGAAGGGGACTAGCTGTGGCTACAGAGTATGACTAAGACTTAAATTAAATCTTCCTAGACCCAATGTGCCCATGTTTCAAAAGCAGCAACAACACCAACAAAAACCCTGTGTAGTAGCCTTAACACCTTAACACCTGTAACAGCCTTAACATTCAGAAAGAATGTGATTCCATGGCTGACTGAGCAGGTTCTAAGAGTTTCTCTCTTCAAAGGAACAGTTCTCAGGACTTATCCTTTAAAGTGAGTAAGCAACCTTGTGATTAGGAGACCAGGAAGAGACT